TAAATTAAAACAGTTCGTCTGCTTTGCACTAAAAGACTCTGGAGGTTACACTAGCAATTAATTAGAAATTAGTAATTAAAAGTATACCAGTTGAACACAGTCTCTATTTTCCCTCTAATTATTACCAAATTACATACTTCTTTCCTGGAGATTAAAAGGCAATTACAGACCTGTAAAATATGCTGTCGTATCATGACTTATTTTACATTTCAGACCGGAACAGAAAACACACTTACACATCCCAACATTACAATTCTTTGTCCCACTACCTATTACAAGATTGTATAATAGCACGGGAAGCTAATTTATAATTTTCTTTTTTCTCAGGCTTTATTATGTCCCCTTTTTTATTTGTCTTTTGTGCACTTTGTAAGTTTTATTTTAAATCGTTTAGGTCTCACTATAATAAATATGTTGAACACTGACAGCCAGGATTATAGACGGTTATCAATAAATGGGCCAATACACACATATATATGTATATTGTATATGTTAATGACTAGTGGACCATTAGTGACACATTACTTTTTTTTTTTTTTTTTTTTTTACATCATCTTTATCATAATTATACTAATGTCTTTTAGCTTTTCTGAAATGCTTTTGTATTTGTTAAATTAGAGATGAAAGAATCCAGGTAATCCACTGATAATCTGTATTTTCATATAATGATTGTTTTGCACCATTAGCTGTTTCCATTCTGGTTACTTATCATATTAACATGGTTAACAGCTCGCAGTGTTATTTTACTCCAGATTGCTACAGCGCTACTTATCCCATAAAAGCCTACATGATGAGTTGTGTTTGAAGTAGCTGTGTTAATAGGGGGATGATTTGTTTTCATTTTGCCGATGTAAGACAAGATAATGGATGCATGTATTTATTAATGATGGAATGTCTGCTCATTTGTTTTTGCATTCATTTAAATGTAGCACAGCTTCATTTGGTACAGGAACTCTCCTTTTGAATGATTTCATGTTACTCAGATCTAAAGCATTTAGCAGGCTCTTTTTAGGATTTAAAATGTTTGAAGGTTGTGTGTGTGTGGATTAAGTTATAATGAAAAAAAGAACAAAAGCATTTGCTCTCAGTATTTCATTATCTCGTGATGACAGGAGGTTTCAGACAAACTGCTGTAGTTACTTTATACAGCTTCAGTTTTACCTTTGAATGAAGAGTGGATTTTGCACTTTGCTTTTGTTAGTGATTATTTTTGTGTATATTTCAGCCATTAAGACTCAGTATTCAGTAAAGTGGACACAAATACATGTTTGCTTTTGAGATTAAAATTTCATCCTTGACTTTAAACACAGTAGTTGACAAAATGTCACCACAAGGTTCGTCCCTTTAGGAGCTGTTGTGGAGCTTTCGATCATATCCACGACAGCTGAGCAAACTCAGTCTGCTGAGAGTGTGTGTGGTGTGATGTGATTGACAGCTCCCCAACAGCCACCTTAATAGACCTTGTGGTGAGATTTGAAAATTATTTAACAGCCTGCTCATTTCTAGGTCACCTTGACTATTTCAGCATTTTGGGCGAAACTAGTAATAGTAAATACAATCGTGATTCCAAAAAAGTTGGGATGTTGTGTAAAACATGAATAAAAACAGAACGCAATGATTTGCAAATTGTTTCTGACCTATATTCAACTCAACACAGTACAAAGACAAACTCATTCAGAATTTGATGCCTGAAAAGTTGGACCAGGAGCTCAGCAAAGTTTAGAAATGCTCAAAAAACACCTGGAACATTCTACAGGTAAACAGGTTACTTGTTATCATGATTGGGTATGAAAGGGGCATCCTCGAAAGGCTCAGCTGTAGCAAGGATGGCGTTTAGTTTCACCACTTTGTGAGAAAGTGCATGGGCCATTGGAAGGACTTGAGGGATTTCACCATCTACAATCTATAATACCAAAAGATTCAGAGGCTCTGGACAAATCTCTGCAGATAAGGGGCAAAGCTGAAAACCAACACTGAATACCAGTGACCTTTGACCCCTCGGGTGGCACTGCATTAAAAACCAACATGATTGCTTTGAGGATATCACCACATGGGGTCAGGGACACTTTGGAAAACCACTCTACCATGCAAACTGAAAGCCATTTATCAAAAACATCCAAAAACACATCTGGCTGGAAAAGCGTGTTGTGGTTTAAATTGTTTTTGGAAATCATGGATGTTGTGCCCCTGAACTAAGGAGGAAAAGGACCATCTAGACTGTTACCAAAGTTCAAAAGCCAGCATCTATGATGGTATGGGGACGTGATCGTACTCAAGACATCTAGGTAAATCGCACATCTGAAGGCATCATAAATGCTAAAAGGTTTTAGAGCAACATATGCTGCCATCCAGACGACGTCTCTTTCAGGGACGTCCCTGCTTATTTTAGCACGATGATGCCAAGCAACATTCTGTACGTGTAACAACAGCATGGCTTCGAAGTAAAAGAGCGCGGATACTAGACTGGTCCACCTGCAGTCTAGACCTGTCTCCCATTGAAAATGTGTGGCGCATTATAAAGAATAAAATACGACTAAACAGACCCCAAATTTTGAGCAACTTAAGTCGTATATCAAGCAAGAACAGGAAATGATTTCACTTTCAAACTTAAACAGTTAGTTAAAAGAAAAGGTGATGTAAGGCAGTGCTGAACATGCCACTGTCCCAAATTTTGGGAACTTGTTGCAGGCATCAAACTGAGAATGAGTGTATATTTACAACTAGAACTACTGTCTCCTGGTTGTATGCCTCCACAAACCTGTCACGTTGCATTTACAGTTTACATCCATGTCTGTTAAAACATGGATGCTTCACACACATCTTCCCCCGGCAGCACAGAAGATCTACACAATCAGCACAGCCACCAAAGACTAGTCTCCAATGCAGTATCTGACCAAATGTCTCCCCTTCTGTTCCTGAGTTATGACATTAAGTAATGGCCAGTAAAGTGTTCTTGCAGTACATACACCAATCAGCCAAAACATTTAAACCACTTGCAGGTGATTGTGTTGTTACAATGCAATGTTCCATTGGGAAACCTTGGGTCCTGGCATTCATGTAAATGCTACCTGATGCGCTCCACCCACCAGAACACCGTTGCAAACCAAGTAAAGCCCCTTATGGCAAAGGCACTTGTTGAAGGCAGTGGCCCCCCAGCAGGACAATGCACCCTGCCACACCATAAAAACTGCTCAGGAATGACTCTAGGAATGGGATAAAGAGCTCAAAACGTTGACCAGGCCTCCAAATACCCCAGATACCAACCCGATCAAACATTTGAGGGACATGCTGGTACCCCAGAGGTACCCCCGATCCTTGGTGAGTCCTCCTTGGACCAGACTTGGCTTTGACCTGTCAAGGCATGAACACAGGACCTCTGGGGGGGGGGGTCCTATAGTGTCTGGCACCAAAGCATTGGCTTCAGATCTTTTGGGTGGTGTGGGTTGTGAGGTGGGGTACCAGCATGGCCCACAGATGTTTGATCAGACTGGGATTTGGGGATTTCGGAGGCCAGGTCGATGCCTTGAGCTCTTTGTCTCGTCCCTCGGGAACTCCTGAGCAATTTTCCTGGTTTCAGGGTGCATTGTCCCGCTGGGGGGGGGGGGGCACTGCTACTGGGTACCTGGTCTGCACCAGTGTTTAGATGAGTGGAGCGTGTTGGGTGGCAACCACATGAATGTCAGACCCCAAGGTTTTTCCACAGAAAATTGCATTGCAACATGATCAATGTTGTTCACTTCACCCACCAATGGTTTTAATGTTTTAGCTGATCAGTGTATGATCTCACAGTGAAGCTGACCTTCTGGATATTGGACGTTTGTGTGAAGTTTTGTCATAATTAGCGTATGAATTCCAGAGTTCTGCAAAAACACGTTTTGCGAGGTTCCAGTGACCTTCGACCACCAAATTCCAATCAGTTCATCATTGAGTCCAAGTAGATGTTTGTGCCAAATCTGACAAAGTTCCCCCAAGGTGTTCTTGAGATACTTTCATGCATCATACGAGGTAAAAGTGACCTTGACCTTTTACCTTTGACCAAATTCTAATCAGGTTACGAGAATAGGGTGGACAGACGGACAGACGGACGGACGAACAACCCGAAAACCTAATGCCTTCGACTGAGGTTATCACCAGCGCAGAGGCATAAAAAAAACAATAAAATTAGTCAGTTTGAATATTAAGTATCTTGTCTTTGTACTGTATTTACCTGCCTATAGATAGAAAAGGATGAGCACATCATTGCATTCTGTTTTTATTTACTATTTTGGTTTTGGGGTTGAAGTAACATAAATAAATAAAGGACTCAGACAGCTGAATCTCGACCACATTTTGACTTAATTTGAGCTTGGCTGCGAGGTTTGATTAAACCAGATGTCAACTTTGTTTAAATCCCTTTAAAACGTGGTTTCAAATATTTCTCTCAATAGCAAAAAATATGTCTCAGCAACAATCAAAGTTTCGGGGTAAACATCATGAGGTCTTGCTAATTAAGAGTTTAACAGTTAAAAAAAAAATCAGCTAATCTTCATCAGGTCTTCATGCTTGTGGCCTGCCAACAAATGTAAATGACCCAAATGTTGTACAACTGTGATTGGTGCAGGGAAGCTCTCCTGTCAGGTGACCAAACCTGTTCTAACCTTAGCAGATTATTTTGTGTTCTTTGTGCAAACGTGATTAAGTGAGCAAGTTTTCAAGGTCTTTGAAGATATACTATGCAGGATTTTCTAAAAGACAATGTATAGACTCACACAGGAGGAATACCACTTAATCATCTCTTAGGACCCACTAGAAGTGTGTGGCAGTGCTTTTTTCTGTAGAGACTCTGTACTCTTGCCTGGATTTTCTGTGTTCAGGACATTTACAGGCGTGTACCCCCACAGAAAAAGATAGTGACCCAAGAGACACAGCGCCAAAAAAAAATGCAAAGAGAGGGAGTGAATCTGGGGCTGGCTTCCTGCACAGTATATCTAAAGTAAGTTAGCATGCAGTTTGGTTTGTCAGTAAAGTGACAGTTTGACTTCAGACTGACTACGTTACACAGTTAAGTGTGTATTAACTATTTAATGTACAGTTCAGAGTTAAAATCACATATCTACAATAAAATGCACATAAAGCACGTAGAGCCAGATGAAGCAAGTTCAGTTCCCCAGATGTTTGTGCGCATGAAAATCTCGATGTCACCTATAAAAACCAGCCTTGAAGGCACATTTTAGTTTCACTTCAAGCCACATTATGTTTAGTTATTCCATGAAGGTTGATGGAAAGATAGGCTAGAGCAGTTTTTAACATCCTGCAGGATATCTTTTTTTTTTTTTTTTGTGGGGGGGTATTGCACAATCCCAAGCCTGGTTTAAGGAGGATGGAGAACATTGTTTTAATTCATCTGGCTCCAAAAATACATTTTGGACCATACAAAGTGAATAGCATGGCTAAGATTACATTAAGAGACCAGAGATAATAGGAATACATAATGGTCATGCAAGGAAGAAAATGGGCGATGCGACATAAATGATTAATTGCAGGAATAAAATAGTTCAAATCTAGGTGTTGGGTGACAGAAATATAGAGAATACGGTCTTCTATTTGGCCATAACTATGCGGTAAATATCAGGACTACTAAATGAGCACAAACAGTTCAGTAAGAGTTGCTGCCAGTTCAGATACACTCTGCTGTTCTGTGACTGGTAGTAAGGCAGGGGGTGTGGGGGGAGAGAGGTAAAGACCCGGGACATTTTTCACAAATCCTTCGTCCACAGTTTGCAGTAAATGCTGGGTCGTTTTTATGCTTTTTAAACCCGACAACAGGACACACACACACACACACACACACACACACACACACACTCGAAATCATCATGGCAATGCAGCATCATCAGAATAGCATCATTGTGTAACATGAATTGGCATTTCTGTCTCTTTATTTGGTTAATGATGGTTAATATACAATTGTCATATCATACATCTGTGTTGCAGCTGTTCAGTTTACATCCATTCCAGCTGTTGAGTACGTCATGAATTGAAAATGGGAATCCCAAATCTTTTCTTTTCTTTTTTTTTTAAATGTCAATTTGATAACACTTTATCTGATTCAGTGCATTTATTGCTCATGACACAACGCCACTTTTTTTTTCCTGTTTCCTGAAAAGTAAAATTTCCATTTGGATAAAGTCTCTTCGTGAGGTGGTCTCTGGCTCCTCTTGGAGTACGCTCCTAATCCTATTAATGCTGGAGCAGTGAACACACCACCGTGTAACAGTGTGTAGTTTAAACTAGAGCCATAAAAGGTAGTCACAACCATAGACGTCCGGTCATTGGCTTTCAAGTGATGGCTGATCTCCAAGGGTTTGTGCTTCACATCAACAGTCATCTAATACACAGACAACAGAGTAATAAAGCTACAGTGTTATGAACACCACTTTACTTGATTGGCATTATACTTGAAAGTTTCACATTAAAAAACAAAACAAAAACTGTACTCTGAATTTCCAGTATTTATAGCGAGGATATGTAAGTGTACCTACAAGTCCATAACTGTAGTGTCAAGGATTTAAATAACAGTGAACATTAACAAGAGAGACTCACACGAAGATAAGAAGAAAAGTTGTGTACGTGAGTAAGATGGGTAAATATAGAGTTTATTATACTTGATCATTTATACATCACAAACTGTTATTTGTGACTTATTACATGTTCCGGAGTAATAATAATAATAATAATAATAATAATAATAATAATAATAAAAGGATACAATGGTAAAATCTTACAATGCATTTCTGTTATAAATCAATTGAACTGAATGGGGCTGAGGAGCGTGGTGGTTTGGATGTTTTGAGGCAATTCTCTTGTATCTAATAAAGTCTACTTAGTTTGTCAGTCACGTTATAATCACCAGAAACTCAAAGACACTTACGGTCCACCCAGATAGAAAGTCCAAATTCCTTCTGGTGTAAGAACAGATGAAAAAACACTTGTATCTCTCTTTATATATCTATGTATAGATATATTGATATATATGTATTTGACAAATGTCTCACATGAGCAGTATAGAATTTCTTCATGGCATTTGATTGCGGGTTATTTACAAATTTCTGTCAAGTTTAGGAATGTCACCAACCAGCCTTTTTTAAGTCTACGTATGTTCAATAGAGAATAGATTACTATCACAGGGGATTGTGCTGATGAACACCTTTAAGACACAGTAATGAAGAAATGTAGCTGAGAATTATCAAAAAGGCAAAAAAGTAAAACCTGATTGTTTCTCTTCTAATGAATTCAATGTAAATAAGGGCCTACTTCTGCAGCAAGCTGCATGCTAGCAGTTTTTTTTGTGACAGTCAGCACAGCAACACTCTCCCAGAAAATGGGAAGACAATGAGAATTGAAATGTCAGCTATATAAAGATACAATCAACAGCCTATTTTTGGCCTCCTGACTCTTGTTTGTTCCTTACTGAGTGTAAAAAGTGACTTACAAACACATCAGATTCAGTAGTTTCTGCCATCCACATGGAACAAAATGAGATACTTGCATATATACAAATAATCAAGTTCCTTTTCTGTTTTTTTTTTTTTTTTTAAACTGATGAAGCACAGTCGTCTAATTCATGAGACAATCCAAAGCCTCACGGTAGCAAAAGGCAACATTAAACACCAGTCTTGTGTTTTGATTCAGGCATGAGCAGCTCTTAAATCCAACAATCAGATTTCTGAAAAGGCTCTCCTGCTCAAACTGGTGACAGTATAAGGTCACTCAATACAGCATTGGTTAGATGCTGGAGACATAACACTGTTGAGAAACTGCAAAGCTACACATAATCCACATGTATTCTTTTTTTTTTTGGATTGATGCACAGCAGAACTTGCACAACAGTGTTACATCTCATCACAGATCAGAAACTCCTTCACATTTTTCTTCAGCGATTGTATAACTCTAAAGTGACTGCATAAGAAAAAGAAAATGAGACATGAATAACTTAACACTGATGCCTTGACATGGCAGTTAAACCTGAGTTCTGTTTTGGAAGTGGTCTCTTTTTTTTCTGATGATAGTACTCTATTTCTATTCAGGCCTTGATAAACTACTATACGTTTTTGAGTTACACACTCAACCATTTTTCTGTTAAATACATAAATTATTTCACAGTTTGCTGTCAAGTCCCCAGATGTGCCACCCCACCCCAACCCCTACTTTATGTTGTCAACAAGCAAACTCCTCAAAGTTGCCTAGAGTCGGGTGACGAGGTAACATGTTCGGCGTGAATCCGAGACTGTCCGAGTGACTCCGGAGGGTGTCACAGGTGCTCTGCAAAACAGAGGGAAGGGAAGGAGGGAAGACGAGTTCAACCGGGTTAAGGGAGGGGCGATGAAGGGAGCGATGATGATGATGATGAAATAAATGAGTCACAGGTAAAATGAGAGCGACCGGGACAATGGAGGGACGTGGTGGAAATTAAACAAATTGCATGAGGCGAGGAGAAATTGTACAAAAACAGAATTATTAACCCATCAGAAACAAGGATAGGATACACAATGAGTGACAGAAACATATGTGGGTAATGATGAGGTAATGAATACAACAGATTTGGAAGTTCCAAGATCAGCCACATCGCATATGTTTCACAGGAAGTGAGAAGAGAGTTTAAAGAAAATCAGGGGGAGGTGGGGAAATATGAATGAAAGGAGGGAGAAGAGAAAGAAAACAGCATATTTTTAGTCCTGCTTTTCCACTAGTATATTAAACTCTAATAGTTACGGAAGTTGAAACATCCACATGTCTGCATTTCCCTGTATGTGCAAGAGTGCTTGCTGGGTAGATAAATCCTGATACTGTATGTGGATAACAACCATCAGTAGTCCCATCAGCAAAACTGGCTATTCCAGCAGACAAATAACCATTTATATTTTGTGCAAACTCACTGCATGCAGACCTGCGATAACATCACAAAGTAATGCATCTAGTGATGTTATCTGGCACGAGCCTCAAATGCATTGCCTCTAAATGGACCTCTGTGCTGCAGGGAAACAAATAGATCTTGTGTGGTTCAGCTCTTTGCACAACAATTCAATAAATATGTTATCTGTTTTCACAGGAGTACTGCACTTTATCCTATTGGGAAAGAAAGCATCATTATTCAGTGGAAGGAGCGAGTTTTGCATAGTGCAGGGAGTCAAATCATTATGGAGAATCCAACCAACTTCTGTTGAGCCGATGAATACAGAAACACACCAAACTAGCCTGCCCTGACACAACAGTGGATATTAAAATGCTCACTGCAGTTGGATGATCACCCCTCTTTTTGTCGACTATCTACCAAATCATTTGTAGCCACTGAGGAAATGATGTATGAGATGGTCTCAAGTATGTATGAGATAGAGGGACAGCATGGGAGGGAGCATCTATTATCAATGGGGTGTGCTACCTGGGGGCATGATTAGGCGTGACACCAGGGCTGGTTGGGTTCTCTGGAAACTCCTGGAATAGACATGATGAAAAGAAAGATGGGTGAGGGTGACTGAAATGAAAATAAAACACAATGCAAATGCTAATAGTAAACTTGTGAGGGAATACGGCACGAGTGTTTTCCCCGCAGTGACATTCAAGTGAAGATGGCTTTTCGAAATAAGATTTGAGTCTTTTTAATAAGCAGGGAAAACAAAACAAAAAGGTGGTGACGATCACTGGAGACAATTAAAGTCCAATAAACTAATTCATTACTTCAGTGCCGGGTTGTTTGAGTGGAGATGTGACAATGGACTAGTTGGAAAACGGTTATTGAATGTGACAGAACGGAAGTACAAAAAGATGGTTTATCGTAAGCAGGTGAGAATGACATGAATGGGACAGAATACAGTAAATATCACACTATGTAAGACTCCAGTAAAAGCATGACATACTGTTAATATCAGCCAACTGAATAAAAGCTTCTTCTACTGCCACTTAAAAACCGGACTGGCTAACATAACCTCCTTCATCACTACGTTGGCTTGAATGAACATATCTCCACTTGTACAGAAGAGAATAAACAACTTTTCACAATCTTTTCCTCCACATCAGCTGTCAAACCAAATCCTGAACCTGAGGCAACTGAGCATGCAAGAACACAATCCACATGCAGAGACAAACCCACGGCTTTTTCACCCATTTGAAGAGAAGTAAGGGACATGATATTGAATTGCTTATAATGAAAAAGTCTTGGGCTTGTGTGTCACACAACAAAGAATTAGAGCTTGCATTTCCAAGATTCTGCCAATGATGGATGCAAACTGGTGGATACGGTTTACTCAGGGACAAAAGGAACTGTCTGCGCTTAACAAAAAATTGCTTAAATGCTTTTGGTTGAAACAGCACCAGATATGAGGGAATATTTTAGCTTTTGTTAGTGCTTTATTCCCCACAGTGAGCTGCAGAGAGGGATAAATGGCTTTTAGCTGTTATTTAGACTTCAGACACGAGCAGAGGCCCCTATGTGTTAGAAACAGACTGTATAAAATAATGAACGTAGCTACCATGACGTCACCTATTCGTCTTTTTATGGATTCCCATTTTGAAGCCTTGAGTTCGGCATGTCGGCCATAGCCACCTTGGATTTTTGGAGCCAGAAGCGACCATATTTGGACAAAAGGGTGACCCTGTCAATCTGACTCACAGTCTGTAGCGACACCTCTCAGACAACCTGTCACTCAAAGTGACCACACCCCTAATTATACATAACTGTAAGCCTTAATAACATTCAAACAGGTGAGTTATATAAAAATTCACACCCTGTACTGTGTCATGAATGTTAAAATTAGCTATAGAGACCAAAACTGTTTATGTACCAAGCTGTAAACATGTTTATATCTGCTGTAAAGGTGGTGCATTTTAACATGAGGGTCTATGGGGATGGACTTGCCTCTGGAGCCAGCCTCAAGTGGCCATCAAAGGAACTGCAATTTTTAGTCCATGTTGGCTTAATTTTTCAGTCCCAGAGGTTGCCACTTAGTCACAGAGAACTGGATCATGTGTTTACAACAGCTCAGATTTTGAGAATATGGTCTATTTACATTGAAAGTAAAGTTTAATTATTATTTGAAAAAATTGATGGTGGTTATATCAGCAGTTACACAACTTATTCATAAAGATGTTTAGAAAACAATCTCAAGTGTTGACAGTGATAAATCAATAAAAATAACGCTGAAAAGAAAAACACAGTAAATAAAGAAACTATATTTATGATGTAAGATAAACCACTTCTAGTTTCAGATTCTCAAACTTTTTAGTCAATTTAGATCTGTTTTTTATGGGTAGAGTATTCCAGGCAGAAGAAGCTTGACAGAGTCCATTTCTCATCTTACAAGTAGTTTGCGCACATTGCACCACCAGGGTACATGTGTTTACCTGACTATGATAAAAACAGTCATGATTATTGATTCCTCACAGATTTCACAGAGATTAGCCCAGGAATAACAAGAGAATTTAGATTGCTGCTCTGTGTAATCTGAAATTGAACAGAAGACTGGGCAACATATGCAAGAACAAGATACAGAACATTATTTAGTTTTAGCTTTGTTCATCACCACCCATTTTGTAGTTGTATAAAGCGCAATACGTAGATAGTCTCTAGGTCAGTGGTTCCCAGATTTCTCAGTCATTAGTTGAAGATCCAATACTTTAAGATCCAGCGTATTACTTGCGTTTGGCCATGTTGTCGAGCTAGTTTGCTGTCTCCGTCAAGTAGCTGTCCATTAGTCATTCACCCTTCAGCAGGAAATGGCACTTCAAAATAAAAGCTATGTTTTTTACAAACTGTACACATTCTCAAGTCACTTGCGGTCCATTCAGAATGGACCCATGACCCAGCAGTTGGGAATCACTACCTAAGCTATAGACTGTATAAAAGAAGTGGACGTAACTGACGTCCACAAAGCCTCGAGTCTGGCATTTTGGTTGTTGCTATCTTGCTTTTTTGCACCCAGAAGTGACCATATTTGGATGAGAGGGCTGACCGATGTAGGGGCAAGGGACCATCATGGTAGCAGTTTGTCAAGCACAAGGTACCCTCACCATCAAGCAAATCCTGCTATATGGTCTGTTTTACTCTAAATGGGACCATAACTTACAAAATGAACATCATGCTGCATTGAAGAAGACTTGAAACTAGAGATTGAAACTATAAACTCATTAGGAAAATGTTTACTGAAATAATAAATTAGATAAATTAATAAAGTAAAGTGAGAAGTAGGGTCATTTTCTCGTAGCCTTGTATAGCAATTGACTTCTTGTTACAACCAGTCGAGTCGCCCCCTGCTGGCCATTAGAAAGAATGCAGATTTAGGGCACGTCAGCACTGGCTTCACTTTTCAGACCCAGAAATAATCCCTTGCTCTCAGCTCTACTTGTGCTGGTGAAACACAGAGCAGATTTAGGTTGTCCACATATTTAACTAAATGAACATTTTAAGCACATACGGTAAATAATTTATTAAAAAATTAAAATAAAAGTGGACCCCAGCAACTACCTTGTGGGACTCCTCATGGGTTTATTAATTTGCTATCAGAGGAAAGACTTGTTTTGCTCTGCTGAGGTGAAAGCTGAGGGTGAAAAACCCTGATGTCTGAGCTTGGCATAAAGAACACCATGACCATCAACATCAATTTAAAATGTGACTGAAAGTAACAGTTTCACTTGTTCTTCTCAGCACAGTGAGCAGACTGCAACTGTAACCAGTAAAGGTTTGATTCAGCAGTGTGTGCTGAACATTTGCTGATTACTAATATAAAGAAGGTGCATTTCAGTTATAAATAATTCCATAACTGCTCCGTATAAAGCTTACATAACAGTCTGCAGGGGAAGTGGAGGTGCCTCTGGATGCCAGTGTGTTAAACCACTGGGCTCGACAAAACGCTGTGATTTAGGGCAGGACAGAAATGCCCCACATTATTCTAGCTTTCATTTTGAAGTTAAAATGGGTTTCAATGCCTTGAAGGTTTTGAAAATGAGTTGATCATGAAATGTTAATACAATCTCCAGACCTCTTAATCTTGCTCTGTTTTCTCTCATTCTTTCACTCCTCTACATGCATTGATTCTAAATTTCCTCTGATCATACCGCCAGACATAAAGCTGCAAAACCTGAGTACAATAACAGCTTTTCCCGCTCCGAGTGAACTGTAATTACATGATTGAAGGTGACACTGAGAAGCTACTGTATATTGTGTAAACACTGGAAAGTGGGTTGGTGCGTGGGGTCTACGGGAACTACGGTGAGGGCTGTAACCTCTTAATGTAAGAGCAGTTTATGAGTCATGATAAAAAGATGATCCAGAGCAGTTCAGACAATTCACAGCTACTTGTCCATGCACTTTAGTTTAAAAGAACTGAAGTAGCTAAACACTTGAGAAACTACAAAAAAGAGAAGAGGCTTACAAAGTCAGTTTGCTCCTTGTGAGTGCTCATCTATATTCCATCTTTAAAACTGTTGTAGATTTTCGGCATCATAGGGAATATTTTGTGCTGCTTCCCTACAATATTCACCATGTAAATAAAGCGCTGTATGTGTAGTACTAGATTCACTGATTATGCATTCATACTGTGCAATAAAAACAATGTTTATATATTATTAATGATTATGTTCTCTAGCACAATGCATCTCTTCTGCATGGGAAATTGAAACTAACGATGACATACTGCAGTGCGGCTTTGTTTTCTCTCTGGTGCTGTTCATTAAAAGCATTTCCAGTGTTAGCAGACATTTTTTGTTGTTGTTGTTGTTGTTCCTGAGGCTCATATGATACATCACATTCATTTCATTCAATCAAGTGCATTCTGAGAGACTAAAATTACCAGATTGTCGCTCTGACAACGCTGTGGTCGTTTCTTGCGTATGAAGTAGCCCAAAACCTTATCCTTAAACACCTAAATGCAGAAACATCAGATACATATTATTCATAGATGGAAAACATCATGTTCACTGACATTAAGACAGAACACTGGCAGCAAATATATATATTTAATTTACATTTGAGGAAATATGCTCATACTCTCTGTTGAGATGATGAGATGATTGATACCATGAAGCTACAGCAGCCAGTTAGCTTAGCTTAGCATAAAGACTTGGAAAAGGGGGAAACAGCTCAATAATTAACAAGTTATATCTTGTTCATTTAATCCAAGACAGAAATACAACGCAAAAACTTCAAGTTGTGGTTTTATCAGTCGTCAGGAAACCAGGTATTTACTGTTCCCTAAAGAGTCTGGTACATCACCGCCACAACTTGACATTTTCACACTTTGTTTTCGTACGCATTAACCAAACAAGATATAACATGTTAATAAGTGAACTTTAGAAGTACTGATAGGCAGATTTTGTGACCTTCAGACAGAGCCAGGCTGGTCATTTACCCGTTTCCGAGTTAAGCAACTGGCTGCAGCCTCGTAATTACAGTACAGGCATGAAAGTCTAAATGAGCTGGTTTCCCAAAATGTCACACTATTCTATTAAAGCTGTAGTTGGTAACTTTGATTAAAATATCTTTTTTATCATGTTTGCTGAAACTATTAATATATCCACACACAGTCTGACATGAGATAGATAATCTGAAAAAAATGATGTTCCTCAGCCTCCTCGCAGTGCTTCTAATGGCATTTGCAAGACTCCACCGCAGGTGAACACAAAATAATCAGAGCCAAGGAGTCTCTGACACAGCTGTCAGTCTAGTCAGCTGAAGTCTATTTTGTGACATGGTGACAGTGCCTGGATGCAGGTGACAGATGTGTTTAAAAAAAAAAAAAAAAAAAAATGCAGCGACAACACAGACGTTTCATATACAAGACATACAGTACAGGCCAAAAGTTTGGACACACCTTCTCATTCAATGCGTTTTCTTTATTTTCATGACTATTTACATTGTAGATTCTCACTGAAGGCATCAAAACTATGAATGAACACATGTGGAGTTATGTACTTAACAAAAAAAGGTGAAATAACTGAAAACATGTTTTATATTCTAGTTTCTTCAAAATAGCCACCCTTTGCTCTGATTACTGCTTTGCACACTCTTGGCATTCTCTCCATGAGCTTCAAGAGGTAGTCACCTGAAATGGTTTTCCAACAGTCTTGAAGGAGTTCCCAGAGGTGTTTAGCACTTGTTGGCCCCTTTGCCTTCACTCTGCGGTCCAGCTCACCCCAAACCATCTCGACTGGGTTCAGGTCCGGTGACTGTGGAGGCCAGGTCATCTGCTGCAGCACTCCATCACTCTCCTTCTTGGTCAAATAGCCCTTACACAGCCTGGAGGTGTGTTTGGGGTCATTGTCCTGTTGAAAAATAAATGATCGTCCAACTAAACGCAAACCGGATGGGATGGCATGTTGCTGCAGGATGCTGTGGTAGCCATGCTGGTTCAGTGTGCCTTCAATTTTGAATAAATCCCCAACAGTGTCACCAGCAAAACACCCCCACACCATCACACCTCCTCCTCCATGCTTCACAGTGGGAACCAGGCATGTGGAATCCATCCGTTCACCTTTTCTGCGTCTCACAAAGACACGGCGGTTGGAACCAAAGATCTCAAATTTGGACTCATCAGACCAAAGCACAGATTTCCACTGGTCTAATGTCCATTCCTTGTGTTTCTTGGCCCAAACAAATCTCTTCTGCTTGTTGCCTCTCCTTAGCAGTGGTTTCCTAGCAGCTATTTGACCATGAAGGCCTGATTGGCGCAGTCTCCTCTTAACAGTTGTTCTAGAGATCGGTCTGCTGCTAGAACTCTGTGTGGCATTCATCTGGTCTCTGATCTGAGCTGCTGTTAACTTGCGATTTCTGAGGCTGGTGACTCGGATGAACTTATCCTCAGAAGCAGAGGTGACTCTTGGTCTTCCTTTCCTGGGTCGGTCCTCATGTGTGCCAGTTTTGTTGTAGCGCTTGATGGTTTTTGCGACTCCACTTGGGGACACATTTAAAGTTTTTGCAATTTTCCAGACTGACTGACCTTCATTTCTTAAAGTAATGATGGCCACTTGTTTTTCTTTAGTTAGCTGATTGGTTCTTGCCATAATATGAATTTTAACAGTTGTCCAATAGGGCTGTCGGCTGTGTATTAACCTGACTTCTGCACAACACAACTGATGGTCCCAACCCCATTGATAAAGCAAGAAATTCCACTAATTAACCCTGATAAGGCACACCTGTGAAGTGGAAACCATTTCAGGTGACTACCTCTTGAAGCTCATGGAGAGAATGCCAAGAGTGTGCAAAGCAGTAATCAGAGCAAAGGGTGGCTATTTTGAAGAAACTAGAATATAAAACATGTTTTCAGTTATTTCACCTTTTTTTGTTAAGTACATAACTCCACATGTGTTCATTCATAGTTTTGATGCCTTCAGTGAGAATCTACAATGTAAATAGTCATGAAAATAAAGAAAACGCATTGAATGAGAAGGTGTGTCCAAACTTTTGGCCTGTACTGTATATATAGCGGACAAAGTATATATACAAGCCCCACAAATTTCCATTTTATTTCCATCACAGTCTGTTTTTATAAAGTGCTTGTGACATCTCAAATGTGGCTTTGACTTGCCACTGAAACATGTAGCCCATTCATAGAAAATACAGAGATGTATATCATGTATCGCCAGTCAACATGAAAATACTGATATATATATCCCTATGTCAGACTAGGCAGAGCTGATGGAAAATAAATCAAGATTCTATAACTGCACTGCATATTTCTCACCTTAAATGTTTTCAGAATTAAAGATTAACTGTAAAACGATAAAGTTGAGGACCCAGCCGCCATTTTGAAAACAGGCAAGTCAACACGAAGTACCACCGACTGGCCGGACCAATTTCCTCGTTTTACAGCAAAACAGCACATAGAGTGCCGAAGTCACGCCCCTTCTGGTGAAGCTCATGGGACCTTAGATCGGAAAAAATATGAATGGGAGTGAATGGGGAGAGCAATATTATCTTTTGTTCCCGTTTGAGTTGCGACATGAAATCTAAATATGTTGTTAATGAATTTAAAACATACATTTTAAGCTCATACTTTGTGGTAAAACTGTTGAGATATAAGCTTTTTAATTAGAAAGACTCAAGAGTACACAGGAGGAGGTCGCGTATGTGACGTCATAGCCTTCGCTCGCTTCCTGCAGCTTGGCCTCCCCGCTGAAATTCCACTGTTTTTTGATTATTTGATTTTTGATTGAAGATGTCTGTGTGTTTTGTGCCAGGTTGCAGTCACTCCAAGCTGCTGGAATTGAGCGAAGGCTATGACGTCACATACGTGACCGCATCCTGTGTAGTTTTTCTAATTACGTTTTTTTCAAAAGCTTATATCTCAACAGTTTTACCACAAAGTATAACTTTCTTAGCCTTAAAATTTATGTTTTAAATTCATTAACGACATATTTGGATTTTATGTCACAACTCAAACGGGACCAAAAGATAATATTTCTCTCCTCATTCACTGCCATTCATATTTTTTCCAATCTAAGGTCCCATGAGCTTCACCGGAAGGGGCGTGACTTCGGCACTCTATATGTACAAATATGTTTCTGAAAACATCTGAGGCTAGAAATAGGCAATGCAATGATAAAATCTTGATTCATATTTGATCAGCGCTGCCTAGTTTAACAGTTTGACTGCAGTTTACAGGCAGTGACTGACATAACTGAGAGCTGCGTTAGAGACCCCTCGGCTCTGATTGGTTGTTTTCGTTCAGGTAAGGTGGATTCTTCATTTCATTAGGAACACTATGAGAGGGCAGAGGACCATGATGTTTTTTTCACAGACTATCTATCTCAAGCCCTACTGTGTGGATACAGTGACAGTTTCAACAAATATGACAAAAGTTATGTTTACAAAAGTTATCAATTGCAGCTTTAAGATTTAACATAAGTAGGGCTGCCCCCCTGATAGTTGACCAAACGTTAGTCAACCAGAAAGAAATTAGTTGGCAAGATTTCCATGGTCGCAGAAAAAAACAAACAAACAAACAAATTTGAAACTATATTAGGAGCTCTGCCTCGTCCAAATAAATTAAAACCTACATGACTGGACCATGTGGGAATTTAATTTGAAAGGACAGACACAGGAAGTGTCCACGCTGTCAGACAGGAGTCAGGTTAATCTCCAGGGCTGGTACCTGCGGTTATTCCACAGGCTAGTTAATAACATATCAGGCAGGAAATCCAAAGTGTGGGATCATTTTGAGAAGGTGAAGGACAAACCCAAGGTGATATGTAAACTCATCTTCATTGGTCGACTACAAACATGACGTATCATCTGAAACATGTCAGTAGCTACATGCCCATTAGCCCACAGCGTCATTAACAGGCGGCTCGCTCAGTGTGTGACGTGCACTTGTAGATAAAATATAGGCCTATATTAATGGAGGGTCATTAGTATGGTTTTGTATTTCTCTGTAATGTAGCACAGTGTTAACAATGTTACTGATACTATTCTTTTTCACACCTTCAACTCAAACCACCAAAATATATCATTTAATCATTAAATTAATATCGTAAACATGTAGACGAAATTCTTAGTCGGGGGCAGCCCTAAACATAAGAAATACAAATATATACAAAGGTTATCTTCGACTTATTTTGCATGGTGTGAAAATCACTTAGCTGTTAAGTGTAACATGTGACTAATTGCATTTATATCCACAAAGGCAAGAATAAATGTGTTAAAGTGTTAAACAGGTTGCCATTTTAATTAGTGAAAAACATCACGTTACCTCATAAAGGTAGTCAAATATTTCCAGTATTGTTAAGACACTGGCTCCGATAAACAGCCCCATCTGACCTCCAATGTCACCTAGAAGAAGAGAGATTAACAGATATGGGCAGGTACAGTAATTGAACAATGGTGCGTGAAAGCATTCCCTTCGCTGTCACTTCTAATTCAGTATCTCTCAGAGTAATCTGAGCAGAATTGTCAAAAGTGTCCATCCAGCCCCAACTTCACATCAGACCCAACCCGGCTGCCCTTGCAAGAGCATCAGATTATGAAAATGTGTTCAGCCTGTTTCACAAGTTCAAAGAGGAAACCTCAAAGCACCAGGCGTGAACACGCGATGTGAAATGTGCGGTGGGGGCCCGCTGAGAGTGCCGATACCAAGGTCAGCCACATTTTTCTGTCACAATGAATCTGAAGCTGCGAGAATCTTACCGAGAAGCCCTGCAATTTCATAGGCCTTCTTCTGCTCAATCTTCTCATAATTCAGAGCTTCAAAGAAGATGTCCAAGACCAATATATTTTCTCTGAAGAGAGGACAGACAAGAGCACACCCAATAAAGTTTATTTCTGGTGATATTACAGTACACCAAATGGTATCTCACATTTCCTGTGCAACTATCTTTCATTATTGTTACATTGAAGGTGAACGATGGAGACCCAGGTCATGCTTTGCCACAGTACATCCATCCATCAACAGAAAAAAAAAGAAAAACAGGCTGGGATCTGAAAAACGGACCGCTGCCAAATAATACTTACCCGATATACTGCTCAGTTTTGTTGAATTTCTTAGCCAGATATTTAGCAGATGCCTTACTGGGGATCTTAACCATGGACAGCTCCTTGCCATAGCGAGTCATGTTGCAGGGGGTCTGACAGACACAGTAATCGTTGTCTTTCTCTACCAAAAAGTCTGTGGATGATCAAAGTCATTTAAAAATATTGTGATCACTGCGAGGAATCAAACAAACCTGCACACAGAGGCTCTCTAAAAATATCTCTGCACACAACTGAAAAACTACTTTCGCTGCCATCGTTCACTTTCCATGAAAGCAAATAATGACTGAAGCTATAATACAGAGAGGGGAGAAAAAAGCTCTATGGGATTTATTTGACATCAGCGAAGCATGGACACATCACAAATCTTCCTAATGGAATTTTTAGACAATAATTTTACTTTATTATTTTTGCTTCAGCACTGTCTGAGATTAAAGTAATTTCAAGTTAAAGCTACAGACGGGTTATATAAAGGCTTGAATAGTCTCATGGCACTGCTGCTGAGCACTTGGTTGAATTCAGACATAAATGCAAAACCATCACACTAATATTTCATTCTTGTGCAACAAAGTGTGCGGGCTCACCTAAAGCTGGGTCAGCACAGTCTTTGTACTGCTCAGGTGTGCACACTGTTGAGGTTCCTGTTTGAAATAACATGAAGGGGAGAATAATTACACATATAAAAAGCCACATGAGGACACAAATATTTGCAGCTTGTTTTAAAGGAACACTGTGTAAGATTTGGGGGGATTTAGTGGCATCTAGTGGTGAGGACTGCACACTGCATCCAGCTGAATGTTCTCCTGGTTAGCTTTCCTTCAGTGTTCATTGTTCAGGAGGTTTTTACTGGGAGCTGAATTATTCACAGTAGACTCCTACTCTAAAAAACCAACGGACCCATCGATTTTTACTGGTAAAAACACTGAATAAAGAAGTTTCACGGTACAAATCAGTAGGTACTGGATGAATATGGCTTGTCTTGTGCGTTCAGAAGTATGACATCATGTGATATATTTGTCGAAATTAAACAAGAGTTTTAGCTGGAGAAGTATCTGTTGCATAAAAACCAAAAGTACAAACAGGCTTTTTGTAATTTAAGAGTAAGTAACACCAGAATTCCTAAAGTCACTGGAAGATATAAAGGGCTGGACAGAAACCAGACTTTGATGATAATCACGTGGGAGATGAGTATCATATTTTGTTCGAATGTCCGAATGTAAGAGTGTCTGTTTAAGTAACATTGGTTGTACTTTAGCTACGCCATGTGCCATTGTTTTGTTATTGTATGTAATGTTTGTACTCCAGACCATGTGATATGGCTGTGCGTCAAATAAATTAAACAAAAGAAAGTACTTCTCCGACACTGTGCTCACCTATTTTCTGATCCAGACATTCCTGTGGTTTTTACCAAGAGGCAAATTATCTACACTGCTCTCCTCCTCGCCAAAACAAATGGAACCGGTAATTCAAAGTGGCAGAAACACTAAATAAAGCAGTCACACGTTAAAATAAATCAGTGTTTTTCCGATGCTGCTCGTCACGGAGGGGTTGCTAACTACGGTGGCTGTTGCAAGAATGCAAATGTCCCTATCTAGAGCCAGTGTTTAGTTTGTCCGCTCTGAGCTTCTGTAGAAACATGGTGGTGCAACATGGTGATCTCCGTGGACGAGGACTTGCTCGCTGTGTAGAAATAAACGACTCATTCTAAGGCAATGAAGACACAATGATTCTTATTTTCAGGTGAAGAAAACACACTTATTATTTTATATTCCATCTTTGCCAATACATCCCCCTAAATCCCACACTGGACCTTTAATTGGCTCTTTCTGAAATCATACCAGGCATGTGAACCATCCTGCAGTTGCAGTTCTCCAGCAGGTACCGAGTTTCACAGTCAATACGGCAGGCGGTGATGCTGTACGTGGAGAAGTATTCAGAGTCTATGGGAGTAGACTTGCAATCTCCCCAAGGCGGAGGGAGGTACTGAAGCTGAAAGAGCAAACAGCACATGTTTTCCCTCAGTATATCAGCACACAGGATTACAACGAATGCCATAATGCAAGCGCGGTGCAGCAGAAGTACAAAAGAAGACGACAAGCTGACAAAACCCAACACGAATGTCTCAAACATAAACAAAGAGAAATAAATACAGAAGCATTTAAAATGAAAATGTGCACTGAGAGACAATATTGGCACAACATATCCGGTCAGACCAACATTATTGCTCATGTATTGGCAGCAAGCAGACGTCATGCAAAACATTACTAATGCAGGTCTAGTCCCCGGTAGGAAGCAGAATACCATGGGAATAGAGACAGGCTTAATAGAAATCTGTAAAATACGCAGATTCAGACAGGACACCACAATCAAAGGACAAATTTTACAACCCTGAGAACAGAATTCAGAACAATAAACAGTTTTCGGATGAACAGATAAATGAATAGTACTGCATTTAACCGACATTATAATCTATTTTAGAAAAGATTTGATAAATAAATAAACCCTGATGAATAAACCACTCCCCAGAAGCCTATTAATGTGGTTTTGTTGTTGATTAACTATTTAGATATTCTAATCAGAGCCCATGAGAGTTTATTATAATGACCCTGGACTGCGAAGCCCTGTGACTGAAACAATGAAGAGAAGTCAGTCTGCAGTCTCATTAGAGGTAAAACTCTCATTAAAAGGTGAGGAGCAGGTCATTACCTTTATGAGTAACTCTGGGAATTCTTAATGAATCCACTAATGAGGAATATTTAAGGCCTGAATTTTAAGGTTTTGTTTCATAGTAAACATTAGGCTCATGGTGCTCATCTTATAACTGCAGTAATGTGCCCCGTGTGTGTGTGTGTGTGTGTGTGTGTGTGTGTGCGATCTGTTTAGAGCTCTTTAACACATAAAGAAACTCCTTTTTTGGTGCACCGACATTTAACCACCAACAAGACTTTCAGTCCACTTTTAAAGTCTTGTTTACAACAATTTATGGTAATGAATGCCTACTACTCATTTTCATTACAAAAACAACCAATTATTTATGAAGGCTACCGATGCTTGCTCGGGCATTGGAGCATTTAGCTACTAATTGCGGTGGGAGCTAGCCAACAATCAATGCCAAAGGCTTCTTCCTGACAAACTTCGCAGAGAATTGATGCTGCTGTTGTCACATTAAGGCTCACGGTAATTCCCAATCATCTCCACAAGCTCTAACCAGGCTAACTCTGACAATCTAATGGTCATTTAGCAGAATTCAATAGAAAGTGACAGAGATAGACTGCGCTTCACTGAAGGAGTGGACTTAAACTGGCAAACATTATTAAGCCTTTATTGAACTCCATTTCTAGTCCACAGACTCTCATAACTGCAGTTAAAAAATGGATGCCAGAGTCTTCATGGGTAATAAAACCTAATGAATCACATTGTCTGGTCCCTCAAGATGATATTAAGTAGCGGTATAGTGGATTGGCCCGATAGCATAATGGCGAAACAAACAAAAAAATGTGAACAGAACTGTACATGACAGTGAGAGGGTAAAGCCAAACAACAGCTTCAATGACGATACAGACTCAGGTGAATGGATTAAAGCTGGAGCGAAACCCATTAGCTGCTCTTTACTGACATCTAATAACCAGGGAAGACAGTGACGACAAGGACGGACTGCAGATGTTGTTGGATGTTCAGCCACACAGAGGGGGACAGATGGATCCATTCCTCAGGGACGGGGGAGGGGACCAGCAGATGAAAGTGTGGAACTTAATGATGGGTGTGTAGCTATTTAACAATACATCATTTGTGGCATGCAGCAAGCCCAAACAGTTATACGCTACCCTCTGCTCTTGGCTGGAAACGAACGTTTGGAAGCCGGGGGCGACCCCGAAGCCCAGCTCATGGAGGAAAGGAGGCTCTGACTGAGAGTGAAGCTGTACCTTTATGCCGGCCTCATAGGACGTCTCATCTAGGGCGAGGGGTGAGGGAACACAGCCCACATCATTATCAAGATAATAAGGAGGAGCAACAGCAAGGCGAGGGACAGAAAGACAGCCTGTTGTCAGTAGAACCACAAAATCGGCTCTAACTCCCAGAAAACTTTGCAGCACTGGTTGGTTGTCATTCAGCCATTCTCTTCTTACACCCACTTAAGCTTGAGTGACGACACAGCTCAGTTTCAGCCATTACATAATTCTACTCCAAAATTTGGTGGTGTAGTCTTCATGTCTCTCTGAGCTCACAAGTCATAGCTTCCTATTAAAAATTAAATTCCTCTGACAGGAGCTTCACAAATGAAAAGTCTTGAAATCATAAGTGCTTCATCCAGCTGTTACACTGAGAACAGTGTCACTGTACTCGTCAGAGACTGACTGAAATTAATGCCGGCCAGGCTTTAATGACAGTCTAATTAATTCAGCACATCTTTTAGGTCGTAAACACGTCTTTTAGCTGTCAGTGGCGTGGGCGCTCTTGTCATGATTATAAATGACAATCCATGCACTTTCAGGAGGAAACTTTGTGGTGGTGATTACTAGATCAGATTCTTGGAGATGGCTGAATGATGATACACTTGGAGCATTTTACAACACTCGTACAGAGAAAGAGAGCGAGAGAGAGACATTACATGTTTCAAAACTGCTTCCCAAACACAGAATTTGTCATCTTTGTGGTGTCCAAGTGTCTGTTTTAGGAGACCTGCCTAAATCATCCCATGTTATTCTGCTAAAACAATGGTGGACGGTTTTATTTGATCATTTATCTCATGCTCATGAACTGACCAAGACCATTAACTTTAGGAGCAAAATCATTTAAATTAGGCTCGATTAATTTCTCAAGTAATGAATTCGATTTACCGCTGGAGTATCCATTACTTCAAGACTTCACAAGGACTGATTATGTGGTGGAAATTTTAATGAGCCTGAGGCGCAATTCAAAAGTACACTTGATCTCAAAGGTAATCACTGCAAAATACTGAAATCCTTTGTGGCCCCGGCGCCATTTTCCTGTGACTTACACTGAAGGTTTGCTCTGTTTGTCGGAGGATATTCTGCCTATTCTGCCACTGTTTGTGTTTGGAAATCAAAAGACGGGTGTTTGGCTTGTGTGCTTATTCTAATGCGGACAAAAGAGGCACGATTTGAGTGTGTTGTCTTGGCAACATGACATGCTGTACAGTTCCATTACATTTGGATAGGGCGTCCATGTGAGCTCAGTGTTATGACCTTGCACACAGGCTTCCTGATCAGTTCGGACTATAGTTATTACTTTTCGTCCTTCACTGTCGGCAGTGAAGGGATAGTTGAGGGCTTGAAACTAATTTTCTGCAAAACCTGCCACAGGCTTTTTTTGTTCCCCTTGATATTGCTTGCATTTTACTGTCCCTAAATCACACTGCATTTCTAAAATATGTCTTCAAAATAGCTGCGGGCCATCTTGCTCATCTAACGACACCCACTTTAAGTGCTGGTGGAATTGGGAAATAAACTAATATGATGACAGGTGCACCAGGCTTCTTTTAATGGCTTAATTTCACGTCAAAAACATGGTGATGATTTTAATATCTTTCCCTCAAGATACAGCAAGTCTAGAGTGGGCGTCTTCAGAGGTCAGTTATTTATAGTGAGTCTTTAAAGCAGTCTGATTTTGGCTCAGTGCTGCTGCTGATAGACTGTTTCAGTGAAAATCTCAGTGAGAAGTTTCTTTAAAGGGTGTTAATTATAAAAGACTAGTAATTATCTCTTCAAACACTTTAAATTTGTATTTGTATTTTTTTTATTTTTTTTTTACAGATTTATTGTTTTGATCATTAAAGCCTGCTAAATCATAGCTTGGTTTTGGTTTTTGCCCTTATTCCAAAAAAGAGAATATTTCTACTAAGCTGTTTACATGGCTAAACAAAATAAATATTCCACTAATATTCCCGTTCACATGCAGCCATGCCTATTCTGATTAACGTGCCCTAACATGTTGCTTATCGCGCCAAAATAGGATTTTTTTCCCAAAGTTTTCCAACAGTAGCTGACTTGTTTGACCATACGAACATAGCCTCCTTCTTTAAATCTTTCAACCACCTTCTTGAAAAGGTCAGCGTTGTGGTATTTGCACGTCCAAAACCTGCTGATATCCAAGTCTTTCATAAGTTTTGAAAGTGTTTCTTCTTCCCACCATAAATGTGGGCTTTTCTTTTAGGCATGCATCTCTACCCCAACCTTGTAAACTGTTGATTTGTGTACAGTGCATCCATGACAACGCACAGAGCTGACCGTAAACAGGCAAGAGGCTGTGTGTCTCAAACTGCAGTAAAAACCCCAGCCGAGGAGCATTCCAAATGCGCTGTAAACATGTTTAAGGAAAGCTGCTAAAATGTGAATAATATCCCACGTCTTGATTGAAAATTTTTCATTTGGAAATAGGCCAGACGAGATGTAATGTTTCCATGACCCATATCACATTTAGAGTACTATCAAATTCTGAATAAATGTGGAATATTAGTGTGCCTGTAAACGCAGTCAGGTTTTCTCTGCCTTCTCTTTGAATGCACCACTAGAGACACAAATAAGCTCTTTTACTATTTTTTTTCACATGCTAGAAAGACTCGATGTGAAAAGTAAAACAAACACTCTGAGCTGCCAGATATTTTTGTGGAGTCTGAGGTTCTTTTGGCTCAGACAAGCACAGTATGCTTGTATGCTTGCATCCAATCATTACTTGGCCCTGCTCTATCAATATTCCTTGGCTGCTATAAACTCTCAGTTTCATGTACCAAGAATCACTGGGTGTTTTTATAACACCTTTTCCCACACGAGGCAAACCAAAGATCTTATTTTGCTCCCGGCTCTGTGACACAGAGGTAATGGTCACTGGTTGGCGAGGATTTGGGGACAAACACAAAATGGAAACGTCGAGGTTGGAGAGGAGGAGGCTGAACATTAGGTACCAGTTGCTGCTGACATGACACAAAAGTTTGAAAACCAGGGGCCACACCAAATCCCAGCTGGTCAATGAAGGGCGGCTCGTCCTGGCTGTGGATCTGAACCTTGATGCCTGCTTCGTAGGAGGTCTCATCTGTGGATACAGTATGCCAGAGAGTGTAACAACAAGTACGGTCGCCTATGGAAACCCACGTTTTGGCTCTGGCACTGATACTAAGTGCTGCTAAAACTCATGCTGAAAGCCAGTAGCAGAGAGATACTCATATGTTAGTGTGCTGGACAGCTATTAAACAGATTTACAACCAAAGATTTATTGCATGCTGTATACTTTATGAACGTACAATACAGTGGGGGTTGTTGTCCACCGTAAATTGAAGACAATATGACCAAGAATGCAGTTTATTAGAGCTGATGTCAGTTGTAGAACTGGAGAAACATATCAAGATAAAATGTAGTGTAAAATTATGCACACATTTAGCAATAAAGTGAAACACAGGACCTGCAAAAATCTTTTCTTTTCTATATGAAGTGACGGACAGAAATGACAGAAGGACCAGAAGAGCACAAAGGGGTTATACAGGTTAAGATGTTACCGTACTGACCTGTCTCTCCCCACACAGGCAGGTATTCATCCTGTTGAATATCCAACATAATCTCCAAGCCGTTCCCCGTTCCACCTTTTAACGTGGTCAACAAAGGGTTGCCGTCTAATCCGGAGTTGAATGTGTAGCATTTTCCATAGCGTGTGTAAATCTGCAGATAAAAAGAGCACAGAAAAAAAACAGGAAGGTAAATGAGAAGTCAAAGCCTTTCCACCGGGCTGTGGTAAATTGTGCACCTGTAAGAGATGTATTACATGTCAGCCTGTAATTGTGCAGGACAGCTAATCATTGCAGAGGCTTTGTGATTATCAGAGAAAGCAGCACCGGCTTTAAACAGGCACCTGGCTCTGATTTGAGGAATTAATGAGCTTTCTTTAGCGGCGGCAGCAGCAGCAGCCATCAATCTTCACCCAATTTCACTCCAAATTTCCCCTGAGTAACTTAGAGTGAATGTACTATTTTGCCGTCATTAAATAAGAAACATCTGAGGTGGAAGCTCTCTGGACACACAAACTCTAAATTGGGTTTGTAAAAGATTTGTGTGTCTTGACTTACAAACTTCTTGAGAGACAGAACCTGTGCCAGTGAGGCTCAGTGGTACTTAGCATTTGATGTGCAATCTCTACAGTGCGTTTGCTCACACCAAATATCTTTCAGATTTAATTAATCCAGTTGGCTTGAGTTATTTATTTTCAGTTTTTGCTCCGGCAATGAAAGATTATTTTTCCCCAGTTTATGGATTTTCCCTGTGATTGGAAAATTCCCAATCCTCTGCCAAACAAGTGCAAATAAATCAGTATCATGATTAGAAATGTTGACATTTTAAAATGAAGTCTAGAGTTTGGATTAAGACTAAGAAAGCGTAAAATTCTGACTACAGCTTGAGGGGTTGAGTAAATTCAAGATAAGTCAATCAATTTCAACTATCAGACTGTAGAATTGATTGGTTATGCAACACTCTGAGAAACTAGAATATGTATTTCTCATGCATTTTGACAAAATATAAAAACCTGCAGTGTTATAAAGAAGTATCAGCTCTCGTATTACCTTTACAGCATTTTAAATTGAGAGAACACACCTACGTACGTTTTACACAATCACACACAAGTTCATCACAATTACATATGCAACAATACCTGCTTGTTAGTGTCCCCAGAAAGCAGGTACATATTTAAATGGGGTGAGTTTGAATGAGTCACGACGAGACTGGAAAATCAGAAATCATCATTAAAGTATGGAGGTAAAGCGAAGCCAAGAGGATTTGAATTTTTAAAGCAACTGATTACCTAATTGTAAGATTTAATCACTACTGAAAATTTAATGCTGTAAATGAATAGGGGCAGGCCCTCTCACATTGTTCATAAGATACCGGTCTATTTTTAATATGGTGAGAAAAACTCACATCCTGATAATGGCACTACTTTGCCTTGTCGATATAACGACGTCATACTGTTACGCCGGCAACAAAAAGCATGGCTGAAAGCAAAATTGTTACCAGCTCCGCAATGGAGGAGGTAAGTTCCAGAAAGGGGAGTAACTTCAGTGGGTTATGGCATCGTTAGGCCTTGTGTCCAAAATGTTGTATGAATAGCCCCAAACTTTCAAGACCCTTTTAGTGACTTGCTGCTCAGAGGAAACTCAGTCAGCGGCTCATCCAGCAGCAGAACAGCATGTCTCCCTCTCCATGTAGGAGTTAACTCCAGGTCATTCTGTCATAAGCTTGTCATAATCTATGGCTATGTAGCACTAAAAAAACCCTACATATAGTCACTGTAACATAACAGCCTGTCAAAATAAATGCAGGTCTGTGTGTGTGCTTGGGGCTCTGATAGTCAGCGCTGAGTGACGCTCGTTACAGCGAGATATATTGAAGGGTACTTTTTTTTTTTTTGTATTTGACAGCTGTTAAGATGTGTAATTTGTAGTTGATTTCACTTTGCTATATGTTTCCTATTTCATATTTAACCTTGCTCTAAGTTGCAGCTGTTCACAAACTGAAGAACTGAGAGTTATTTTTGGTTTAGTTTTTACTGATTATTTGAGGACAAACTGTTAAATTTATACTGGTATATAGAGCTATGACACTGATTTTGTTGCAATTGTATGTTTCTGAAAATTAATATGTTTTGTCATATAATCAAGAACATTATCATTGCAAAAATACCCTGAAATATTACCATATTGTCCAACCCTATAAATTAATACCAATAAATTTACTGCAGTGAAATATTTTAATTTGAAGAACATCTATCAGTATTTAAATTAAAATGCCGCATTCCCCTTTTTGGAATCTGCAGTAGCTAATTTCAAGTTGTGCCATTTTAGAACTTGATTTTCAATCATGAAAAAAAAAAAAAAAGAACTTCAGTCACCTGAGGAACAAGTCTGATTGATATTGATCCAAAATTTCAAAAAACAAAAAACTTTCTTAACATAATTAAAGGTTCATTTTCAGGATTTTGTATTCAGTTGCTCATAAAATTCAAATCATTAAGACCGCCTACGGGAAAAGTTCAAATACTAATTTGCTACATTACGCCACACTTCCTACGTTAATGATCGTGGTTGTCCAATAATCCATACTTGGCAAACAGTAATGTGTCAAACATTCACTTTAACACCATGACAAGAAATCGTGGCTGCTGGGATGGTGTTTCTCACAGGCTGTCTCAACATTCCAGCAGTCTGTCTTCACTACATTTCTAAACAAGTAACACTGGTGAAAGAAAGGAATGTCATATAATACTTAATTTTCACGACCCAGCACAGCGAGGTCATGCTAAGAGAGCTGCTGGCAAAAACTCAACCACTATGGCAAAGCTGATCTCAAGAGATCGGAGTCAGTGTTCCATGTCCAGACACAGACAGACTTACATGCAGCTCAGACAGATAAGACAGCGCCTTTGGTCCTTTCCCCCTGCTGGCTGTATAATGAGGTCTGCAAAAGTGACTAGAGACCTGTTTTTAAAGATTCTGATTTAAGTTTAGATAAAACAGGAGCTGCACACCATGTGCTACTGAAGATGGGAGCATGCAGCACAGTTTAAATCCCAATTACGGCCCCAATCTGGCTATGAAGACAGATTTTAACGACCACAGAGGCTCTGCTGCACTGGTTTGTGCAAAGCAGGGGAGCCACCATGGACAGCTGACATCTTGCAGTGTGTGCAGGACTTTGCATTTCAACTGTCTCAAGAAGTAGTCACAGTAACAGGTCTGATATTTCTGACTCTGTATCTATAGACGATGAGATCTGCAAAGGCAAGTGGTGAAATGTGATGCCTGTGACAGGTTAGTGTTTTAAAACTGAGCATGTTCCCAGACATAAATTATTATCAGTGCTGCAGGAATAAATTAATCACTCTGCGTGCATACTTCTCACTGCACAAGTTTCTCCCCTTTGAGCCTTTTAAATATTTCCTAACTGTGTTAGAGGCTGTGTTGGGAGCATCTGATGGAATTATTACCATTTTGAATAATGTGGTTTGCAAACATCATCCACTTCCTCCATGCAGCATTCAGAGCTTACTCAAAAACAAATGGGTGTAATAGACTTACATCTGGTGTTTTAAATGTGAGACTCAGCTGCTTATTTGAAACAAGACCATATACTCCACATGCCCTCCAGATGTTTAATTAGAGGAGCTAAAATTTTAATTTGAACTGATTTACGACGTCTGAATTATTAATGCTCCAATTTTTTTCCCTTAATATTGTTGTCACGGGTTATAAAACAAAAAGGCGTTAAAGCAACTGGCAGAACTCGCCAGGGTGAATATAAGCGAATGAGAAAGTCCTATAACTGTAAAGCAGACAGTGACGTTATTGATGATGACATGACATTGATTTTCCACCACACCATGATGTATTTGTTTCCTTGAGTGACTTTTTGAAGACATCAAGTTTAATAAGGAAAAGGCTGTCATGTCTGAGAGGCAAAAACAGGACAGGCTTGTTTGCAGCTTTGAAACATCAACACCTTAAAACACTCTGAGAGAATGAGGATGCGGCATCAAATACTTGCATGAATTATTAATACGCCTTGTAAACAGCACTCATATCCACACCTGACAAACAACATCTCTCTCTCTGTACATACAGTGCTGAAGTTTTTGTAGGTGCAGGTTTCCCCACGGAACTTGCACTCCAGCAGCATGTCCTCCAACTGGTGGCCGAGACGTCCCATCATCTCAGTGGTGTTGACGCTGTAATCAGGGGGTGGGGTGTAGTTGTTGAAGTCCAGCAGGCTCAGGAGACCCTGCTTGTGGTTTTCTTTCAGGATGGACAGGCTCCTCTCCATCACCGTGTGATTAGGATACATGAGGTCCATCCAGTAGCCGCTGTGATACAGGTCATCCTTGGTCAGAGAGGACACACGGAAAACATTTTTGTTGCAGAAAGTAACAGCTGGGAAGGACATGTTGTGAGCCCACACCATGTTGATCTTCGTGACGGCAGGGTAGGACATCAGGTAGAGGATTCGGTTCCAGGACCAGGTGCACAGGAGACTGACACACACGAAGAAGGCCATAATCCAGATGACTCGCTGCGGCTTCGATTTGTCCGGAGAGAAGACAAACTTCAAACCGTGGATCTTCGTCCTCATTATGAAATCCACCGTGATCTCTTTCCACGATGGTTTAAGTGAGCTGGACTCAGTGTTCTGGAGACGGGTCTCTTGGGCATCACTGTCTTTGTGTGGCCCCAGGGCGACTGCTTCGGATGTGGTGGTTGTCTTAACCATAATTGCTTGTGTCAAGGCAGGTGCTTCTTTACCAAATGCTGTTTTTTTTAGTAGCCCCCCACACACATGCCTAATTTACACACAGTGGCTTTCTCTACAACCATTCTCCAGCTTTATGCATCACAAATTCCAGGTAACAGCGACTGGAGTCCTAATGTGCAGCTGTCCCACTGTTCAGGCTTGAAAATTCTTTGCCGTGAAGATATAAACAAAGGAACTGAGCTCCTTGGGGGAGGTAAAATTGATTTACATAATGATTCCTTTATGAGAAAAACAGCTGAATCACTCCATTAACGAAAACCATCAAGCGTAACCATCACCAGTCCTTCATCAATAGATAAATGGACGTGATAATTGCAGATGTAAGCGACGGCTTCACTCCCAGAGGCAATCACTTTGAAAATCCG